GGGGGGGGGGGGGGGGGCCCTTTATTTACCATCAGTTATTTGTCTTTGAGTCCAACTCTCTTATTCTTCATAGTGAGACTTACTAGACCATAAGCTTGTTGAATATAGGAACACTGACTAAATCTTTATATCTCTAGAATCTAGCATAATAGTTAATATTTATTCAGTTCATGAGTAAATGCTGCAGTGAGAACTATATGTGGCATTTCTAGGAGTGGGGATATCATGGATTTTTATAAAAGTACTAGAGGCCTGGTGTACGAGATTCATGCACTTGGGGGAGGGGGGAGGGACCCTCAGCCCAGCCTGTGCCCTCTCACAGCCCAGGACCCCTCAGGGGACATCCCCGGAGGGGTCCATAAAGTTGTCGCAGAGGCAGGAGAAATTCCTGCCACTGCCACTATGCTCGCCAGCTGTGAGCCCGGCTTCTGGCTGAGCAGTGCTCCCCCTGTGGGAGCGTACTGACCACCAAGGCAGCTCCTGCATTAAGCATCTGCCTCCTGGTGGTCAATGTGCATCATAGCGACCTGTTGTTCCACTGTTAAGTCGATTTGCATATTAGCCTTTTATTATATAGGAGGACTAGAGGCCCAGCGCACAAAATTTGTGCCTGGATAGGGTCCCTAGGCCTGGCCTGCAGTCCGGGCTGATCTTCCCTGGCTGCCAGCAGCCAGCCCTCCCCCCTCTGCTGCTACCAGTTGCCCTCTGTGTGTGGGGTGATTGGTGGGGCAATCGGGGCCCTGGCACCGCCTGCATTTGCCTCCACCTCTCTCTGGTTTCCCATTCCCCATCAGGCAATTGGCGCCTGCCGGCTGGGGGAAGGAACCAAAAGGTTGGCTGGCAGGCCCCTAGGCCTGTGGGCTGGGGCAGCTCCTGAATTGAGCGCCTGCCCCCTGGTGGTCACTGCACATCATAGCGACTGGTTGTTCTGCCATTTGGTCGATTTGCATATTAACCTTTTATTATATAGGATAGTTTCAATAAAATTCCTATTCCCTTGAAATAGATTTATTTATTTAGTCATCTACTTATTGTAGCTGCACCTACAAGGTGCAATTTAGAGAAATACTAGTATAGAAAAATTCTGAAACTGACTTTTTTTTTGTCTTTTTAAAAATTGACATTGTTAATAGAAGTTTTAGAGATCTTGAAAGTAATGAGAATGAGGTGAACAAGTGATTTCTAGTTCATTTATTTTAATGTACACTACATATTTTTATTTGATATGCTAAAGCAATTTAAATATACAAGTGTAATAAAGAGTTGAGAGATAAATTTTAGCTTAAAACATTATAAAATTATGTAAATGAATATAACAAATGTTTTATTATGAAGATCCCTTCTGTATACTGTATGCTTCAAATTATGTTTAAGTGATTAAATATATTTTCTGCTCTCCTTCAATTTAGAAAGCTAATCTAATAAAAAGTAGCTTTGACTATGATAAATGAATGCAGTTAAGCAATTACTAATTTGTACTTTTAAATTTGTCTTTTTTCTCTCTAATATTTTCCTCTAAAAGTCTCTACTGTTAGTAGTTCTTGGAAGTAGTGCATGAGGAGATAATGTTAGCTCATGAGAAGATAATTATTTTTTTTTCAAATTTAAGCTAGTCTGATATCAGCAGGGAGAAAATACAATATAAAGGCCAAATGATAATATTCTCTATAAATGACTTTATCACCAATGGTTTGTTATGTCCTCAGGGTGAACTCATGGCTGTCAATGCTTTTATTTCAATTTAATAGAATCTTACTCTTTTTGGTTCTTGGTGATCAAGAGAGGTTACATAGATATATAAAATTTGTAGGATATATTTTTGTCTTCATTTGGTATCGATCCTCAAAATATACATATTTGGGTGATTGTGTTTTTTCTATTATGCAATAAAATTCTTGAATTGTGATTGTTTTTCTTCCCATAAAATTTTGAGTGTACTTTTAAAATAGCTATACAATACTGCAGTAGCTTTTCCACAACTTTTGCAAAAGAGAGAGAATTCTTTCTAAATTAAAAATAATAACAACACTGAAAATGAGAGGAACCTATTTTTGGGGGTACAAAGCAATCTTTCATTAATATTTGATGATAACTCCAAGAGTAAGCTATAGAAAATTGACTATATTTTAGTTCCATTTTTTCAGGGATAATGTATCCTTTGTACTAATTCTACAATAATAACATCTCTTTAGGTTCACCTTTATAATCCCAGGGATATGTTAAAAGGCACACAACAATGATATGATTCTGATATGGCAGTTCATATCTTTCATTCACTGTGGGCTTGGGTTTGCCTGCCCTTGCCTGCCCGAGGAATCAAAGTTAAACTAACCTCATTGAAGGAATTTGAGAGACTTCCATCTTTTTT